TGCGTCGACATTAAAATTGTACTCTGATAACCGAGGTGCTTCATTGGATCCGATAGACTTGTCGAAGTCGCTCTTGCTCATCAGCCCTTGAGAGCTCTGACCTCGATCACTTCTCATTTCATTCCGTACAGTATTCTGCCTAGGTCCGCTGTTCCTGCGATCTCTACTATATGGCCGGTACCGATCTCTGTTTGACCTTGGATCTCTATCAATATCTCTCTTAACGTTGTCGACGGGTCTGATAGGATAAACGGACCCGGAAGGAGCCCAAATTTGATAGTCCTCGACTTTGATCTTCGACTGATACCGATTGTGCACATCGGCCCAAATGACAGTCGGGTACTCTATCAAATTCTACTTCAACTACTTTAAAGCCACTGAACTTCGAACGTTGAGACTTTGAGTGAAAGCTTGAACATCCCAATCGTTGGCGACCGGTGGTAAGTCCATCCGTTCCATTTGGAATCGAGACACGAACTCTCTGAGCATCTTGTTGTCCTTTTGCCTTACATTGAAAAGGTCCGACTTTCTGGATTCGACCTTGATGGCCCCGGCATGTGCCTTTACAAAAGAATCTGCAAGCATAGAAAATGAGTCAATAGAACTATGCGGTAAATTATGGTACTATATCATAGCATCCTTCGACAGGGTCTCTCCCAATTTTTTCAGTATAACATATTCGATTTCGTCATCCTCTAGGTCATTCCCTTTGATAGCGCACGTGTAAGACGGCGTGCTTATTCGAATCGGTCGTCCTATTATACTTAGGAATCTCGGGCACGCGGAACTTCTTAGGGATTGACTTCGGAGTCGCACTCGATGGGAAAGGTTTTTGTACGAATTTTTTAGAATCCAGTCCTTTTAATATTGTCGTTCTTGCCGTAGTGGCCAGAACCGTTGCCGACGTTAAAGGGTGCTGACTGAGAGTTCGACATTGTGATCATGCAATCAAAGATACTTCAAAGAACAAGTGAAAAATAATGTGTGTTATTAAAGTTCGTACCGCGTAGCCATTATTATCCTTAGCCCCACGGTGGGCGCCAAACTGTTTACCCTAAAATCGGATAACAATAGTATTTATATGTAGTTTTAAGGATACGTGATATAACTTGGTACACATTAAGAAGATAAATATTAGTATCGAAATTGACTGTAAAAGAAATAAATGCAAACCAAATGAATCGAATAGCCTTGGTCCTCGAGTTCGATCACCCTTGAACCAAGTGAAGTTTAGTTGATATAAGAACAGAGTAGCAAGATAATGAAAAGTTGAAAACTAGAGAAAGGCAGTATATTGCTTTGTATTGCGTGAATATGATCTCTTTTACAAATGATCAGACCCCTTTTAAATAGTAGGGGAGTCCTACTAATGATACAATTCTAAATACAATAAGAAATCCCATGAATAGCTAATTAAATGGCCTCTTCTTGATATGTGCCGAGATTTCTGCTGTGATCCTCGCTAGATCGCGGATATTTTGGCTTTCCGTTATTTGGCTCAGTAAGCTTCCCTCAATCTTGCTCGATCTATATCCTGCTCGGTCTCAATCTTGGCTGATCTCGATCTCGATCGGTCTCTGCGTCACGAGCTTGGCAATCCAACTTTGCATCTTGGTCCGATATAACATGGGGTCGAACCTTGGCCTGCCACGTTCTAGTCTCGATTAGTCATAAAAAAAAGGCAAGCCCGGATTTTGACCGTATGCAATTGGTTTATAAAAATGCAGAGGGGGTGATTTGCAATTTATTCGACTAATAAATCTTGTATTGGCTACAGAACTTTTGGTTTTCATGTCGAAAGAATACTTTTCTACTGTATCACTTTGAAGCATTCTTAAGATTCTTAGAAAATCTTCTTGATTGTTGACAAAGTTTTGTTCTCTGGAGACAGACAATATGCAATAGCCAACTGGATATTACATCTTTTTCAGAGTACGACAATTAAATCGACTAATTTACGATATAAATTTGGACATGTATTTTTTAAATTTTCTGAAATAAAATTGACATATTTAGAACTATATAAAATGTAGTATTATAAGTCAGAATAGTTAATATTTCAAAATATTTAAAAACTATATGCAGAAAACTTGGTCAAAGAAAATAATGTTAACCCAAATAACTTTAGGTTCACATAAATTAGAACAGAGAGAGTAATATCTAAGATAAGTAAATATACAATAGTCGATGGAAGCAAAGACGGGAACATCAACATGATTATAATAGTTGTCTAAACTCTAAAGTTGCTCAATGAACCCACGGGAATGCTTGAGCACAGTGATGATTTCAGGATTAGACTTTTTAATATAGATTTAGTATTACTCAAATTTAAGGATTAGACTTTTTTTTTTTTTTTGGAAAACCAAAAAAAAAAGAATAGTAATAAGACAACTACTTCGCCTAGTGGCAGGATTGAGGCAATCAGGTGTTGAGTACGGCTCTCAAGTGTTGGATCGTGACAGTCAAGCGAGTTGTAATTGATTGAATCTCAAGCTTGACATACTAAGTCAACATTAGCACAATATTATGAGTCATAGAACTAATTAAAAGCCAATAGGAGGTGCTATTAGCTAGCTTATCGAAGATTTTTTTTTCGGTTTACGAATGAATTTATATTTCTTTTCCTTTTCTTCACCAAGTACCTAATTTTTGTTGGAAATTAGAGATGGGACTGAGTGATACACGGCATATTAGGTGACATACAAAGAGAGGCACATTAAGTGGTGTTGATACTAATTCTTTTAATCACTTTAACCGAAAGGCATTCTCATTCTATATTTAGATTAGTATAACCACATTAGCTTAAGGCAAAAGGAAAGATATATTGATTTGTCGAAGGGGAATTAAAGACTAGTTGTATTGTTGGTTGTAATTATTAGCCCAAAATGGAGTATTGAAAGTGGCCCTCTAGGGATATAAATAAATAGACAAAGTTAAGATCTTGACATTTTTATCACCCTAATAACTTTTGCTTGCCTAGCCTTTGTTTAGTAAGTAAATATTACCTATTCTTTAATGTGAAATCAAAAAGCTTTTGATTGTTCACACTATGTGGTTGTAGTTGGTGTGTACAATTTGGTCGCCTCTAAAGATTCTAGTTTTAGTCATTCATTGCTACGATTTTTCCAAGAAATACATCTACAATAAACTACAACCTTTGTTTCCTATACAAACAAAATACTAGTTTGAGAGAAGGAAGTTTAGATTGAAACTAACATGTATAATATGGAAAATATTTCCAAAAAGAAAGGACTATAAATAGGAAAAGCCACGAAGAGTTGTTTTCAGAAAATAGTAAGTAGTAACTTGAATTGGCACGGTAGTCAAAGCAAATCTTCATCCTGTACCGTATTGTTTTGTCAACGAACAAAAAAAAAGAGTACATTTAGACGAAGAAAGAAGATTCTACCAATAAATGTTTCTTTTGTTTTTTGTTTCGTTTTGATTGACGAATGAATTGATATTCTGAATTTGGGATTCAAACTAACCGAAAGGAAGGTTAAGTATTTACCGATTTTAATTTATTTGCAGCCCTCCGTCTCTATTTTGATTCTGATATTTTTTCTTCAAAAACCTGTACTTTTCTTCATGATCTGCAGAGTTTTTATTTGGCTATCATGGACATATATTTGGTTGGAACTTGGGGAAAAAAAGATTTGAAATTGTGTTGAAAAATAGTTTTAGAAGTTGTATTTGGACACGTATTTTATTTGAAAAAAAGTTGAAGTTTTGTGAGTGAAAGAAAAAATTTAACCCAAAAACTGTCCTAAACTAGGTTTTGGGAACTTGAATTTGTTTTTAAAATTTTTTAAAAAATTGATCAAATTTCATGAACAAATAATATTTTTAATTATTTTTTTCTGAATAAAAAATAAAATCTATGTCCAAACGAGTGCTTATTCTCTCTTTTTTTCTTTGTCATTATAAAATTGCTTTTGCATAATTAACTACCTCGTTTTGTATTTCGTTCTTTTCATTAATAATAGATACCACTAATAGCATACGAGCAAAGGCAGTGTCAACGTTTGAGAAAATAAGTAACTAATATTCTTGTTTTTCTTATTATTTATAAAAACATATTTCATAAATAAAAAATGAACGAAAGGATATCACGTGACACCAATCCGCCATATGATAGTAATATTATTTGAAAGTTTCATGAGGCATAAGGTCTTAGCCCTACTCTATGACCGTGAAAGAAAGAATTGCCAAATTTGAGTTTTGAATTATAGTGTGATTGTTTTAATTTACAAAGCAACAAAAAATTAAGGCGTATTCTGAAAGCAACTAATCAGCAAATTATATGTTGCTTTGTTCTCTGTTCTGTATCAAAAGGTCTTTACTTAGGAATTGGGGACCATTTCAATCTGATTTGAGGATTGCAAAAGGTCCATTATATTGTTTAGTATTATATTTAAAAAGAAAATACATGTGACTTGTAACAATGTTTTTTAGAAATTTCAATAAGGAAAAAAGAAAGAGAGAGGGAGAATATTATTTGTTTTCGTGATCATGGCACATTATTCTATTCATACAAAATAAATATCATGCTTTGAAGACAAATTAATGGAGTAATTGTAATACACTAATTCTTAACTTTTGGAGGAATTTTTCATCAGTATTGTGATTGATCTATATTTTTTTCAATGATTGTATTTTTTTCTTTCTTTATGCTTTTAATTGTATCCTTTTTAACTTAGATTTTGTAGAAACAGGTCAATCAATTAGACAAAGTGGTCCTAACAACTAGTTGTAGTGAAATCATATCAACACAGCAGAATTGGCAGAAACTCATAAAGATAGTGAACAGGTCTCTGATCATTGGGAATTTTGGTACGTAAATTTCGCCATCATATTTAATTATATATTCCCTCTACATTTCTCTCCATACAACACCAAAATCCTACTTGGAAACTCACCAACCTCATAATTCTATCAATAACAATAAAAGGAGGAAAAATGGAAAGAAAAAGGAAAAACAAAATTTGAACGAAATAAAGAAAAATAATCTTTTTTTCTTGTGTTGTCATATACCAAAAAAACCCATGTGAATATTAGCAATCTAACACTCATATAACCAGACCAAGAAAGAAAAAAAAGCCTAACTCTTCTTTTCTCCACCTAAGAATGCCATACCTAATAATTAATAAGAGAAAATTGGCAAAAATGTACAAGATGTATACACTAGATTTTGATGATGATCGAATCCTACCAACAAAAACAATGCAGTTCTTGATCTTCTTTTCTCTTTTGGTTTCTTCCGGTTCTTTCTTCATTTGGAGGATCAAAACTTGTTTAGGTACCAACACTATAATCTTTCTTCTGTAGTCAACCTTTTCAATCAAAGGGCACCATTCAAAAATACATCACTGGATAACATAACGGATTTTGGAATTTATTAACATTCTCTGAAAAAGACAGCGTTAATAATCCCGCGATTGATGAGCAGAAAACTGAAGTCATATTTTAAGCCAAAAACAATGAATGTCTTGTGCAATTTTCTTGGCATCCATGGAAGCACCAAGCAAACCACGTTTAGTGAACCCCACTGCATAAAGCCCACATTCTCCTTTCCACCCATTGGGAAATGGCCTTTTTGGTAGACCATCTTTCTCTGAGAACATCTCTTTTTCCTGGCAACCAAAACAAAACCCTTTAATTTAATTTCTCTATTGACTAACACATCCCTAAGAATCAAGAAAACTAATTAAAGTCATGAGTACCTTTAGCCACGAGGGCACATTGCTTTTGTAACCGGTTGCCAAGATTATTGCATCAAAATTTTCTGTTTCCCCATTCTCAAATTCCACCTTTTGATGTTTCAATGTCCTAATTCCAGGACATACCTACACATTTGGATTCAGGAAAATTTTAATAACATAACATGATAAATAGGGTTAATTGAAGTCCTATTTATGCCTTTTCTTGATTAATGGAATGTTACAACCTAACTAAGTTCATTGATAATACGAAATGGTGCAAGGTAAGTGAATTGTTGGAGGAATTTGTCATCACTGTTTGTGGAATATTTGCAATGATTGAAAAACAGAAAGATCATGGGATGGATCCCAACAAACATTAAAAGAGAGCATAGACAAATAGTACCGTACCTTAATGTCTCCGCTTTTAATCTTAGCTAGTGTCCCAACGTCGAGTACCGGTGTTTTTCCGGACAAGTTTTTTAGCTCTAAGGGACCGATTTCAGGCCGATCCAAGCCGAGTCGAGCCGTGTCGCCCAGCAATAACCGAGAAATAATCAACAGAAATCGATCAACAAGTCGTATGGGTAACCACTTTAGTAACCACATGGATAGACCAAAAGTTGATTTCCCCAGCATCTCTCGTGGTAGGACGTGCACCTATAATATTTCAAAAAAAGACTAAAGTCAAAACTGATTGTATAAAAAAGTTAAAAATTGAAAAAGGTTAAATTACCAAAGCAAAATTAAAGGTGGGAGATAGTGTTAAAAGATGAATGAATTATATTGATGGGAAGTTCAACTTGCCATATCCTGGAGGAATGGCCAATAACTGGACTTTTCACTTTTAGGTTGCTAAGAAAAGCTTCTTTTGTGCCAGTGATGAATTTACTGGAATCAATTATTTTTATTTATTATTGAAAACAAAAATCCCACCAATATTGCGCATGCTTGCCAGTTCCAAGAAAGTGAAAAATACACAACCAAAACCAAGATTTTCTTTTCTTGTTCTTTTTAGTTAAATCACCAGCTTTACAAATCATATATTGTTGGAACTTGAACTCACTTCCAACTTTTAACTTTCAGAACTGGCAACAGATGAGAATTTTATTTTTTTAAATTAAAAAAAAAATTGGATCAGTTGGCCGGCAAACTCCACGAGAAAATAGTATGGGTACTAAACTAGGGTTTCTCATTGTTTCCACAAAAATAGGAAGCTTTTCAAGATTAAACATGTACTGTTTAAAATGGAGAAATTCTCAAAAGGAAAAATTCTGAATAAAATAAAACAACAGCGGGGCTTTAGCTTTTTCTAAAACAAGATTGACAGAAAGTTGAGAAATGAAAACCATGTTTCCACTTATTTTGCATCAACATTTTTCAAAGAGTTGATGAGACAAAAATAAAAAACATAAACAAAAGTCTGTAATGGATTTGTTTTAATGTCCCAAAAAAATAAAGGGTTGTTTCTTCTTCTTTTTTTTTCTCTTTTTATTTCCCTTTTAGAGAGTGCTAAGGAAAAGAAAAGAACGAATAAGAGTATATATGAGTGTTTACTTACAGTATCTCTGACCACAAGTGAAGGGCTTGCATCATGATTACACAGATCCAAGCACACCTCCATTCCTGAATTCCCACATCCAACTACCAACACTTTTTTCCCTCTAAATATTTCCCCACTTTTATACAAGCTTGTATGCATTATACTCCCTCCAAATTCCTCCATTCCTTCTATTCCTGGTACTACTGCCTCCGCATTCTCCCCCGTCGCCACGATCAACCATCGGCTAACATACTCCGTTGTTGTCGTCGTCGTCTTTGTTTCTGTCTTTACTCTCCATAACCCGAGATTCCGGTCATAATTAGCACATACCACAGATTGATTAAAAACAGGCCTAATATCAAACGTCTTGGCATAGTGTTCCAAGTACTTAATAAACTGTTGTTTTGTAGGGTAAGTAGGGAAATCATTAGGAAATGACATGAGTGGTAGTTCACAGAATTGCTTAGGCAAATGAAGACGAAGACGATCATAAGTCTTGAGTTGCCATAAAGAAGCTATGCAATTAGATCTCTCTAATACCAAACTTGGAATTCCTTTTTCTTTTAAACATGCTGCAGCCGCTAATCCTGATGGCCCTGCTCCTACAATTACTGGACCCTTAACAAATACGCATCTCTTCATTTTGTTCATGAAATAAGGATCATGAGATCTTTTACCTTCTACTTCTCTCAAGTAATCCATGAAACACACTAGGCAACACAAGTATAGAGTAGTTAAAAAAAGGGATGAGGATATTGATAGATTTTGAGTAACTATATCTAACTGTTTCTTGGTTTTTCTTCCTTTTGTTCTATTTCAAGAATTGCGGAATATAGGGAAAAGCTAAAATTGAGGATACCCATTGGTCAATACAACGTGTTGGTGGTGGTAAAAGAAGATTTGAGAGCTAAAAAACACTTGTGAGAGAGACTAAGTCTCAAATATTATCCAGAAAAATTAGGAGACTGAGCCCCTATAGAAGTGGAGCGAATTAGGAGATACTTATCCACTTTGTGAGAATGAATTAAGAGGTAAAATCAGCATTCATTCAATCAAATAGCGACACCACACAAAGAGAGAGGGAATTAATTAGAAAGATGTGGGTGGGAATTAAGGTATAGATATAGATGTGGTGTTAAATGTGTCTACACATTCCTTTTGTTCATAGGAGGAGAAGAAGAAAGAAGAGGAGAGGAGGTGATCAATAAATGAATGAATTGAATTGGATTCAAGAGAATTCACTCTATATATACCGGACACAATGAGAGTTTGAGAAGTAATGGAAGTGGGACACATACATATATATAGTGTATGTGTGTGTATCGTTATATGCTTGGTGCGTGTGGAGACTACTAAGAAAATTAATTTATATACTGATAGTGATAAAATTGAACAGTATCAGCGTGTTACTAATCCTATTTTTCAAGGATAGTTACATGCAATTATCACGTAGACGAACAAGTATATATAAGTTAAACTTATGATTTATCTAAGCAACAAGACGAAAATATAAATAAAAAAATAATTGATTTTGTCCAATCTTATACACGTCAGTGTATGTGTCATAGAAGAGAACTAAGGGGGCTTATTGGATGTTTAATTAGTACTATTACTTAAATCCTAGAGCAAGTTGAGTTCTTTAGCAAAATCCTATTATAATCTTGGTTTTTGGATGAGGTAAAAAGTCATTAGATTTTGTTTAATAGGAAATAGGAGTATATCTTAATCAGGAGTTCATTGAATAGAATATGTAGTTGGGTGAGATTCTCAATTGTTAAAAGGGGTAGTTATGGTTCGCATTGAATTGGATTGTGCCCGATTGGGCCGGGTGGAACAACAGAATTCTACTCCACTTACAAGTTAAAACCAGCATTACTAAAATTATTCCATAAACCTAAAGGGGTGATTGACTTAAATGGCCCTATAGAGACTAATCTTTAAATGTTGTCCCAATTTTTTAAATTAATTAGAAAATGACTCCCCGTACACACACTTGTTGTTTGTCAGGGATTTTACTACCAAATTGGTGAATTTTATGCTATTTTTACTTTACCAATATTGTTAATTGCTCACAAATTCTACCTTATTGGCGTAACATTGTGATTGTTCAACTATTCACTAAACTCTACTGTATAGGGTAAAACATGTGGAGCCAAAAGCAGAGGATAGATAGCACCGAAGGCAACAATTCCGCTTGCTACCGAAAAGAATGACACTCGTGAAAATGCAATAAACACTCTCCTCCTGGTAGCATTCAATGGAGAATATTCCACAACATTTATTGCATTACCCGTTACAGAGAATTTGTCATTTATGTTCACTGTTACACCTTATTCAATGGCCCTCATAATTGACATTAAAAAGGCATGATCCTAGGACCTTGTTCCCTAGGTGCAGTTATAAATAGTGAGTGTTGTTATCATTGTAGGGACACGAATTTTCTGGCAACTTATGTTACAATCAATCCAAAGCTCTATATATTTTTATCTTCTTGTTCCTTGATTTCATCGCCGTTGTGTGCGGAAGCCTTGCTCCCAGAATCATTGTCTCTGCTATTTTTATCTTCATTTTAATGCTAAGTATTGCATATTTTTTTATTTATTTTATTATTTCAGAATCGAATTGATTCACTTGTCTAGAAATCATGTATAAGTTCAATCGTACCGTTTTAAAGGTAAATAGTTTGGCACCTACCGTGGGGATTAGACAGTAGTGTAATTAATTTGATCCTTGCCTCTTTTACTAACGTATTTTTATTATTTGTCTTAGCAAAAAAAATCACAAAAAGGCAGATAGTGGTGTTAACGACACGCACAATCCTGAGGCTCAAGGAGACCAGCCTCATCATGAGGATTAAGTTAGTGACACCCACAATGAGGGGAACAATACTTCGCCGGTCCACGACAGAAAGTACCCATGACATGTTCGGGAGGCGATTCCCGATGATGCTGAAGAGGAGCATGTTGTTGATGTGGTGGGGGTCTTACAAGAGCAAAAAGTGATCATTTTAGGTTACCTCACACGGCAGGATAATGCTATGACATAGTTGAAACAGGCTTTATCGGACGCTTCCAACAACGCGAATAGACGAGGTCCAGTTCCTCCCGACGCTCCCGCAAATCAAGCAACGCAGAGGGTCGACAATAACACACCGAGGGGTGAGGTTGGCTCTGATGGGGCTAGGGGAGAGGGTCCGGTCCCAACAACAAGAATGATCCTTTCAAGATCGAACTCTTACGATTTATGAGGGAAGTGAATGCCCGCATGGACCAAATCCTGGGCGCACCGCAGGTGCTGAAAGGACCGGACTCATAAAAGTATACTCAATAACCCTACAAACTGAGCGCGACACCAGAATTAATCCCAAAGCGGTTTAAAATGCTCTACATGCCGAAGTATGACGGTACTTTAGACCCTCAAGAGCATATCACCACCTATACAATGGCAGTGAATGGAATGATTTGGCTCCCCATGAGATTGAATCTGTTTTATTAAATAAATTTGGGAAACTCTCACGAGGGGAGCCTTGACATGGTATTCACTGTTACCTGAGCATTACATATATCCTTTGAGATTTTCGATGACTCTTTTATTAAAGCTCATGCTGGGGCCAGAAAGGTACATGCTCAAAAGGCTGACATATTCATATTGCACAAGGAGAATCTGAGTTGTTGCGGGAGTTCGTCGTCCAGTTACAAAAGGAAAGGATGTTGCTCCCAACTGTTCTAGATGAATGGGCGACTGAAGCATTCACCAAGGGTCTGAATTCGAGAAGTTCAGACGCTTCCTGGAAACTCAAGGAAAGCTTGATTGAGTTTCAAGAGACGACTTGGGCATATGTTCACAACCGATACGAGTCTAAGATAAGGATTGAAGATGATCAAGTCAGCTTCCCGGCATCAGTAAAAGGTTGGGAGAAGAATAAAGAAAAATCAAAAGACGATTTCGACATGGATAGACACCCATCAAGAGCCAGTTTTTGCCTTACAAATGGGCCGAAGGACTCGGCGGAGTTTTTCGGTCGGTAAAGAGGTTCATTACCGATAGAAGAATTGATCGCGGTCAGAACAACAAATCATTGCAGGAAAAAGAAATGTTAGGTATGCGGGATCCTTCCTGCCACTGGCTATCATAATACAATTTCAATGTCAATATAGTGGAGTTGGTATCAGCTATGAGAAACATCAAAGAGCATGGTTCCCGAAGACGATGAGGTCCGATCCCAGCTAAAGGGATCCCAACTTGTGGTGTGAGTACCATGGGATGAATGGCCGCTGAACTGGGAACTGCCCACATTTGCAGAAAGAAGTGGTGACCCTATTGAAGAATGGGCATCTCAGAGAATTCTTAAGTGACTGGGCCAAAAACAACTATGGTCGCAACTGGGATAACGTTGAACCCTCAAAAGTAGGAGAATATCCCCCGCGCTAGAGAATCAACATGATTTTCGAGGGAAACAAGATCAACGGAGTTACCTTCTCAGCAGAAAAGAAGACAACGGTATCAATAACCCATAGCAAGAGACTTCGGAAAGTTGCTGATGATGACATCACTTTCATGGAGGAGGATGCAGATGGATTGTTGCTACCGCAAAATGATGCATTGGTGATTTGTCTAAATGTTCTAGATTTCAAAATCAAATGTATTCTAGTGGATCTAGGAACATCGTCCAATATCATATAATGGAAGGTATTAGAGCAAGCTAAACTCACCAAAAGCATCATTCCGGCCACAAAACTCTTTGCCGGATTCAAACTTGCAAGCGTGACAACCCGAAGAGAGAGATTGCTTCCCACAAATGCCAAATGAGTGATGAAGATGACTCTTTTTGAAGTGGTGGATTGTGATATGTGATAACTAGGGATTATGATACATTTTACACTCCTTCTTACTTGATTTTTTATTAAAAATGTGTTCAAAATAGTCCCAAAGGCTCACATGTTGTAATTGATTGCAGGGTTTGGTCAACAAGGTGACAATTTATCAAAACCAGCTCAAAAAGGAGTGAAACATGCACAAGTACCAAGAACAAGTCCAAGCTTAGTATAACAGGACCAATGCGGCCGCACTCCATTCTGTGCGGTCCACAAAGCTCAAGTTCAGAGAGTTGCCAAGTTGGAGGAACATTGCCAATGCGGCCGCAAAACATTTCATGCGGACCGCATTGACTTCATTGCGGCCGCACTTGATTTTGTGCGGTCCGCAAAGCTCAAGTTCAAAGAGTTGCCAAGTTGGAGGAACATTGCCAATGGGGCCCGTGATCCATTTTGTGTGGACCGCAACAGAAGCCACTGCGGCCGCGGTGCATTTTGTGCGGCCCGCGGTGGCCAAGTTCAGAGGGCAGATTGTTTCAGCCAAGAGCCTTAGTGTGGCCGCACTCAATTTTGTGTAGTCCACACTAGCCCCGTAGGGGTATTTTTGTCCAGAATTTTTGACATAGTATAAATAGTTTCTTTTCCTATTTTTAGGTCATGAGTTGTATTCGAGACAGTAGCTGCGCTCGTGAATAGTGTTCTTTTACCATTTTGAGTAATTTTACAATAGTTTCATCATTGAATCTTCAAGTTTTATCTAGTAATTAAATATTATGGGTTTTTCTTCATCTATTTTTTTGTTTTCTTCTATAATCATGAGTAGCTAGACCCATTAGCAAGGGTTGTAGCTCAACCCTAGTGTGGGTAATTGATGGGTCTTGTGTTTTAAGGCTTGAATGTCTATGTGTATTTGATATTTGGACTAATTTATGGTTTTAATGTTGAATTAGTGGTTGAAAACACTAGTTTATGCCTAGTTGACTTTGGCTCTTCTTGAGAAAGAGAGCCTAAGTCTAGGGAATTGGTCCAACAAGGAATTGGAGCGTATTCAAGAGATTGATAACCCCAATTTAAGGGTTAAACCTAGAGATAGTAATACCCTACTTGAACCTCTATTGCTTGCGCAAATTATCATACCCAATTGGTCTTAAGAAAGCCAATTAGGGCAAAATCACTCAAACTACCGAGAGGTATAGAGTAAGAAGTATCATGCAATGGTTATATCGTAATCCCAAAATATGACAACCTAGCCTTAGACTCGAGATCCCGTCAAGTATCCACCTAGGAGAAAGTCACTTCCCTAGTGCCTTTTACCTATTTAGACAACCTTCAATAGTTTACTCTTAACTTCACTTAGCCTAATTTAGCATCTTAGTAGTGTAAATTTAGAAGTACTATCAAAACCAACAATGTTTAGAAGTGCAATTAGGAACAACTACGCAACGCCAATTTAGATAGAAACTCAATTCCGATCTCTAGCTCCCTGTGGAAATCGATCCCAACCTTCTCGGCTAAAAGCTTCTTCGACCACTCTTGCTACTTTGTAGTAATACAGGGTTGGCTTCAATCACTTTTTGGCGTCGTTGCTGAGGAGCTAAC